AGAATCCCAGCAATAATGGTGATATTTTGACCACTGAAAGAAAAAGTGCAAGGGGCGCTAATGTATAAGTTATATTCTCTTAACTGAAATAATATAGCATACTACAATCAGACACGAAACTATTAATGTCAGCTGTTTTAAGCAAATACGCATTCATTGAAAGCTACTACCTTTTGATTACAATTTATTGACCTTGTCAACACTCTACTAAGGCTTCTTAATCATGACCCTTAGAAACTCAGATAAGAGATAACATGGATTTAAACCTATTCTAACATGCTTATTTAAATGTACAGCTCAATAAAACAATGATACTTAGACTAAAAGCAACATTCTTTCTCTAATCATTCTGTATTGAATATATAAGGAGGATTAACTACCACTAGAACTCAATTCTTAAACACAGTTTTAAGTATAAACATTTTGACCCAAGTAGATGGTTTAAGACCAATGAACAGTTAAGTAATATAGTAGTTACTTCCACAACCTACAATTAAGAAATTAAACTTGGATATGGGAGAGAATCATGTATCAAGCTGCTTTTATACTTTCACAGTAATTTTTGACTGAAAATATCACACTGAACAAGATGGCAGGATTACTTGGTATTTTTCTATTTATATCCTTAATTTTATATGTGTGTAGATAATTTAGTTTGTATTCCAGGAGTCACCCTTGTACTGGGAAGAAAAGAAAAACACACACATTGATAAAGCTTTCTTATTGCTTATATTTTAAGCATTTAGCTGTAAAGAAAAAAATATGCTGCAAATAATACAACTGCAGAAAAAATTATAGTCTGAATATCTGAGCAATGAAAACTGCTAGTGACTAAGTCTGTTATTATTGCAATTGTATCTCCCTAGGATGTGGTAAAAACTCATGTGGAAAGCCCAATCTGCATTTTCTTGTCATGTAATGCCAAGTTTTTATTTTTTATTGAATGCCTACTATGTATTAGGTATTATTCTAGGCATTATACATAACCATTACCAGGTTAAAACAGTGTGAGAGATATTTTTGGGTACTTCAACAAAATCAATGTTTTGTACTTAATATACTTATACACACATGCAAAGCTGGTTCCTAAGAAAGGTGAACATTAAAACTCCCTAATAAGACTTTAGCATAGTGCCCAAGGCACTTGACTGCTAGCCAGAAGGCTGGAGGTTCAAACCCTCCAGCCACTCCTCAGAATGAAGGTTGGGCAATCTACTTCCAGTGATACCGCGTTGGAAACCCAAGGGGTTGCTATGAGTCGGGTCCAACTCAATGGCACATAACAACATAACTTAGTTGCTTAGCTTGACAAGGCTCTCTCAAGACACGGGTGCTCTATCATACATACCATCATGGCCAACTTCTCTGAAGACAGGACTTGTGCCCTCACTCATTTGCCTGCTCATCCTACCTCCCTGCAAATGTATACTGATCCCATCTGGAGTGGTTTACAGCCAAACAGTTGATCTGGAAAAGGGCGTAAACTGGTTGGTATAATATTTACTCCAGTAAATCTTTGGGTCTAACAAGTCATAGCCTACATAAAAGGATTGAAAGGGAATATGTAAAGGGAGAGGCAGAACTAAAAATGCCTTCAACACTATAAAAAATTTGATGGGCGTTTGGGAAGACAACTCCCCTGCCCCACAAAAAAGCTGCAAGTATGACTGATTCATGCAACAAGAATTTTAATTAAGCAACAATAAATGAATTTAACCTAACATGATTTTCCCCCCATTAAATAGAACACAAGTTCTTGGCTGGGAGTATTATCCCTTAAAAAAGTATGCTGCAATGAAAATACAGCTTCTAGTCATTAGCTCCTTTTAAAAATGTTTCTCCTTAATTTCATAAAAGATAAAATTTTGAGGCGCTTGAGGTAATCAGGGCAGCTAGTATCTTTACTGACTTAAAAAGCAGCAAGACAGCAGAAATCAGCACTTTATAATTTACTATTATTTTGATAAAGTAACCATCAGGATTAAGGGCTGACAACTAAAAGGGGGTAACAGAAAAAATGATTTTTAAAAAGATCTTTTACAATCCAACTTTAGCAGTCAAGTCTCAATTTCAAATGCTCCAATCCATTTATAATTTTTAAAGTGGTAAATGAAATGTTAGTCTTCAACGGATTCCTTGTTTCATTTGAAATCTGAGAAGTGTATGAGTCACTAAAATAAAAAGAGGCAGAATGGTTAAATGATGAAAAAAGTTCAGCATATCAAGTTTTGTACATTAAAAAACTACCTCAAAACTGTATAAAGTGGTATTTAATAGACAAGCTACGTAACTTCCAATAAATCAAACATAAAAACAAAGTGAAAATAAGACATTCTTTTTCCATCCCTCCATTTTCTTCCAAATTAATATTGTGGAGAAAAATACCACCAGAGCAGATAAACAAATACTAATTTTCATCCATTTCAGTTTTACTACATTCCAAAGGAGATAAATGTTTCTGCATGTGCAATTATGATAACCACATTTTAAATAATAATGCATTGGTTTGGATTAGTGGCCAGAAACAATACTAGCTTTGGAAAAGTGTATTCTTAAAGTACTAAGGAAAAAAACAGCACCCCCTTAATTTGTTCACCAGTTGAAATCTTCAGAAAACCAAGAAAAAACTGATCCTTTTTAATTTGTGAAAAGTTTTATCAGCAATAAGTGAAACTGCTACTTGGGTTTTTATGGTATATGATGAAGCTTTTCAATTTATCCACAATGGAAATTATCTGCAGCATGCTTTCAAATAGAATTTTGCCATGTATGTTTCCTAATGTTGTCTCTAATTCCATTTGCTCTTCCCTTCAAAAATAAAAGGATATTACCTTGTTGAAGGAAGTTTCAAGATACTAATACTTAATGTTATTTTTAAGGATAATAATGAAAAATGTAGTTGATTCTTTACTAAACTTGTGTATGTGTGGAAATGTTGTTGTTATATGCCATCGAGTTGGCCCCAACTCATACCGACCCCTCCTTGGGTTTCCAAAGCAGTATCACTACAGAAGTAGGATTGCCCAACCTTCCTTCCGAGGAGTGGCTGATGGGTTTGAACCGCCAGCCATCTAGTGAGCAGTCAAGTGCCTTAGCCACTATGCTACCAGAGCTCCCGTGTGTGGAAATAGGAGTAGCTTAATAGAAAAGACAACACTGTTAATTGAATTCAGATTTAAGGTAATGGGACATCTAAGCAAATGATTTAAAAATGCATCTTTGTGCTTTTTTATTTTTTCTGGTTATTCTGAATTGCCTAATTTATTTCAATAGAAGATAAAAATCCCAAATAGGGTGAAATATTTGGAATGGGATTCTCAACGCTAGTGTTAATTGTTCTCATCTTATTAAAATATCAATAAGCAGTACAAAGTTTAAAAGAACACCATAAAAATGAAAGACCAAGGAATCATCTCCATTTCCTAGTTTAATAATGGAGAGTAAAAGTATTGCACTTTATTATTCAACATAAAATAATATAGCCAACAGTAACATACAGGTACACAATTTATTATTTATTATATGCATTTTATATACATTATTTTTCAACAGCTGTACGTTTGCTATGTGGTACAATCTTAAAAATTTGCTGATTCATAGTTTGTAAAACAAAAACCTTACAAAACTCATCAAAACTCGCAAACTGATCAGAAAAGTTTTTTTTGGAAGACTAGAAAAAATACTTTATTGTCTTAATCATGCATTACACAAACAAAATCTTTAGTTACACCATAAAATTAAGCACATCTGAAAAAATAAAAACAGGGATAACTAGTTCAAACACAGCAGAATTCTGTATCTTGATTCAACTATTTTTGTATCACATTGTAATGCAAATAAATTTTTACTCCAAATAGTTTGAAACAAAATAGTTTTGTTTGGAATCACGGTAAATCAAGATGTGTATCTTGGGGGAACCACCTTGGTTTACAACTTAAACTATAAAATATTCAATTTTCAGTCTATTTTAGACTATTCAGAGTTCCAAAATAGATATACAAGGCCCTTTAGCACATTAATAAAAGGATATAAAGACCAACAAAAAGTGAAATAAATAATAATAGGCCATTAGCAAGATGGATAATCCTCGATAAATAAACTTGTAAATACAGTAAGATGTACAAAATATCACATAGTGATAGGATGTCAAGATTAGTTTGCATTTTTTTTTCTTTTTTAAGAGTTCATTTGGAGTCCTAAACCCCACTGTTCCATTTTAATACACTTAATAGTCCTTGGTTTATGAAGACAGTTATGTGATGATGAAGGTGATTTAGCATCTTTATGGAAGGACTTAGCTCAGCTGTATTAGGCAAAAGAAGGAAAGTGTGTGTTTTCACGGCAGCGGGTCAGTGAGATCTGTGTTTCAGGGTTGTTATAATGCAGAAAAACTTCAATACAATCTTGAGCACTGTTGTGACAGGCTAAATATATAAAAAGACTTATAAAAACTAGAATTTTATCCAAACATTTTGTGCAACTAATGCTAAAATATTTTAAGTTAAATTTTCTCTCTCTTTTTTTTTTTAAAGCAAAATAAATTTAAAAGGGAATCTGTGGCATTCAACCGATAAACAGAAAATCACTAAGAGATGAAAAAAAGCTACTCTTGGAGCTCACTTCCCCCAACAAGAGCACCACATTCCTAACCCTAAGGCAGCGCACAGAGTCCCAAAGAAAAGTCTTTTTGTAAGACCAGACTCCACATTGGCTTAAAGACATCTAAAAAACAGACATATGCTCAGTTCATATCCAGTACAGGCTGCAAATACTGGAATCCTTTTCTCTTTTTTTTGTCCCATAAAATACAGTAATTACAGTCAAATTAATGAGCCTGACATTATTTAAGATGTGATTTCCACCCAATTTATATCTGCCCCAACAGCCTTCACCCAGACAGATCATATGTAGTGTCTTATCAGTAACCTTTTTGATGGCAGTGATGCAGAACCTCTTTCTGTCCAAGCAAATCTTTTGTTATGATGCAAGTGTTTGCTGAATCACACAAATACTTTGGCAAGGGCATCAGCCCCTGCACTGGCAATATATGCTTTTGATGGGTGGAAAGCAACATCATAAATGGATTCATCCAATTTCTTCCTGTGCGCTGTTATTTCTTGTACACATGTCTTGCTGTCTAAATTCCACAATCTAATGGAACAGTCATGGCCTGTAGAAAGAACACCACAAAAAAAGTTTGTTATTGAATAACAACTCCTTTATAAAGTTTGTAGGCAACACAGGAAGTTTAAACTTACTTCCAGACATCAAATAGATTCCATTAGGATCGACTGCTAGACTTGTAACAGCATCCAAATGAGCGACCATAGAATGGATCATTTTACCTAAATAAAAAAATACAAGAGAAGATTGTTTTCACAAATATTTAACGTGAGAGATCAGAAACCATAATATATCATGAATATAAAACAGACTATCACTATAGCAATTTTTCTTTCATTGTGGTAGAATATATGTAACACAGAATTCCTCATTTTAGAGTATACAATTCAGTGGCATTTAGTACTTTCACAATGTTGTGGAACCATTATACGACAATCTAGTTCCAGACTATCACCGGTAGTTGGAAAATTTGGCCTTGGTGACAGAAATAATGCTGGAACTCGTAGGTAGAATTCTGCAAGACCAACAACTTGTTCACTGCAAACATCTTTTTTCAACAACACAAACGGAGGCTGTACACATGGACTTCACCAGATGAAACACACAGGAATCAGATTGACTACATCTGTGGCAAGAGACAGTGGAAAAGCTCAATATCTTCAGCCAAAACCAGGCCAGGAGCTGACTGTGGAACAGACCATCAACTGCTCATATGCAAATCCAACTTGAAGTTAAAGACAATGAAAAGTCCAAGAGAGCCAAAGTATGATCTTGAATATATCCCTCCTGAATTTAGAGATCATCTAAAGAATAGATTTGATGCACTGAACACCAACGACCGAAAGCCAGATGAATTATGGGAAGATATCAAGAACATTATCCATGAAGAAAGCAAGAGATCACTAAATAAACAAGAAAAGAAGAGAAGACCAAAGTGGATGACAGAAGAGACTCTGAACCTTGCCCTTGAGCGGAGAATAGCTAAAGCAAATGGAAGAAATGAAAAGGTCAAAGGGCTGAACACAAAATTTCAAAGAGCAACTCGAGTAGACAAAGCCAATTACTATAATGAAATGTGAAAAGACCTGGAGTCTGAAAACCAAAAAGGAAGAACACGCTCAGCATTTCTCAAACTGAAAGAACTGAAGAAAAAATTGAAGCCTCGAGTTGCAATATTGAGAGATTCTATGGGCAAAATATTGAACGATGCAGGAAACATCAAGAGAAGATGGCAGGAATACACAGTCACTGTACCAAAAAGAACTGATCGATCTTCATCCATTTCAGGAAGTGGCATATGATCTAGAACCAATGGTGATGAAGGTAGAAGTCAAAGCTGCAATGAAGGAATTGGTGAAGAACAAGGCTCTGGGAATTGATGGCATACTGATTGAGATATTTCAACAAACAGATGCCCCATTGGAGGCACTCACTCAGTTATGCCAGGAGATTTGGAAGACAGCTACCTGGCCAACTGACTGGAAGAGATCCATATTTGTGCCCATTCCAAAGAAAGGTGATCCCACAGAATGTGGAAATTATAGAACAATATCATTAATATCACACGCAAGTAAGATCTTACTGAAGATAATTCAGAAACGTTTGCAGCAGTGTATTGACAGAGAACTTTCAGAGGTTCAAGCCGGATTCAGAAGAGGACGTGGAACAAGGGATATCATAGCTGTTGTCAGATGGATCTTGGCTCAAGGCAAAGAATACCAGAAAGATGTTTACTTGTGTTTTATTGACTATGCAAAGGCATTTGATTGTGTGGATCATGACAAATTATGGATAACATTGAGAAGAATGGGAATCCCTGAGCACTTGATTGTACTCATGAGGAATCTGTACCTTGACCAGGAGGCTGTCGTTTGAACAGAACAAGGGGACACTACATGGTTTAAAATCAAGAAGGGAGTGCGTCAGGGTTGTATTCTTTCTCAACACTTATTTAATCTATATGCTGAGCAAATAATCCGAGAAGCTGGACTACATGAAGAAAAATGTGGTATCAGGATTGGAGGAAGAATCATTAACAGCCTGAGATATGCAGACAATACAACTTAGCTTGCTGAAAGTGAGGATGACTTAAGGCACCTACTGATGAAGGTTGAAGAATGCAGTCTGCAGTATGGATTACATCTCAACATAAAGAAAACAAAAATCCTCACAACTGGACCAATGAGCAGCATCACAATCAATGGAGAGAAGATTGAGGTTGTCAAGGAATTCACGTTGCTTGGTTCTACAATCGATGCCAACAGAAGCAGCAGTCAGGACATTAGACGACGTGTAGCATTGGGAAAGTCAACTGCGAAGGAACTGTTTCAAGTGCTGAGGAGCAAGGATATCTCCTTGAGGACTAAAGTGCGCCTGACACAAGCCATGATATTTCCAATCGCCTGGTATGCATGTGAGAGCTGGACAATGAATAAGGAAGACCGAAGAAGAGTTGATGCTTTTGAGTTGTGGTGCTGGCGAAGAATGCTGAAAGTACCGTGGACTGCTAAAAGAACTAACAGATCTGTCCTGGAGGAAGTGCAGCCAGAATGCTCCTTGGAAGCAAGAATGGCCAGACTTCGTCTCACCTATTTTGGTCATGTTTTAAGAAGGGACCATTCTCTGGAGAAGGATGTCATGCTTGGTAGGGTGGAGGGTCGACGAAAGAGGGGGTGGCCTTCAACGAGATGGATTGATATGGTGGCTGCGATGATGGGCTCAAGTATAGCAGGGATTGCGGGGCTGGCGCGGGATCGGGCAGTGTTTCGTTCTGCTGTGCATGGGGTCGCTATGAGTCGGAAATGACTCGATGGCACTTAACAACAACAACAACAAGTTCCAGAAGACTTTTATCACTCTAAATGAAATCCCATACCTCCTAAGCATTTGCTCTCTATTCCTCTATCCCCGCAGCACCTGGCAACGACTAATCTGTTTTTTCCTATGGATCAGCCTAGACTACATGTTTCATAAAAATGGAATCACACAAGATGTGGTGTTTTGTGTTTGGCTTCTTTCATTTAGTAAAGTTCACTACAGCCGTATTCTGAGTAGAAGTTTCAGATTGCAGAACTTTTCCAGACAGTTACTCCAAAAAAAGACATTTGTGTAACAAAAATTTGACAAATCTGGTAAATGGAAAACACAGTAACAATTTGATTGGATCAAAGGCTTAACATCACCAGAAAATATATTTACCTAAAAGGTCTATTATCATCAAATGGATCTGACCTTTGAAATGTCAATCATTCTTATGGTAGAAATAAGAAAGGGGCAGAGATATACCAGAGAAATAAATGGCTCTATACTTTCCCCAAACTAACAAAAATAGCTCTCTGGAAAAAGAAATTTAAAGTATTTAATTAGCTTCAACAAACAGGATCCAATAGTAAGTTGTAATTAAAAAACAAGCTGTGATTACAAAGTTGTGTTACACACACACTTTGGGGTAAGAACATCTACCCATGCAGTTGGCAAAGCTTTTGATAAATGGAAAGCCACATCATAAATTGATTCATCAAATTAGGGCGTGTAACAGCAAATACTAATACTTTTTAAAATTCTAATTATAATCTTGTGCCATGTTTGTGTTCTCCTGATGACATTCTACACTGCTACTTCACATGGGACTGCAGCTGTGGACATGAATACAAAACCACAACATGATAAAATGTTGAAGTTACTCCAAAAAAAAAAAAAAAAAAAAACAACAAAAAACCACCCCATAAAAGGTCATGACATTTTATTGCAATACTAAGCACTTAATAGTTCCCCAACTTGTGCTGCTCTAATAGAAATTTTTCACAAGTGGATGGCTTTAACAAATGGGTTTATTCTCTTACAGTCAGGAGGTTAGAAGTTCAAGTTCAAAGTAAGCTCTAGGGGCTGGGTGAAGGCCCTTGACCTTGGGCTTCACCTCTGCCTCTTGCTCCTGGCCCACTGGAGCTGGAGGCATCTCTTAACTCAGGCAGCTGCTGACTACTGAGGCTGACAAACCCAAGGTCGACACACAAAATGGCACAGTCCCAAGATTATCAAAAACAGGCAGGCCACTCACTGATGACTCAGCCATATGCAGGATCCAAATGTGCTAGGAACCTCAAGACCTTTCTCAAAGCGTCGTCTTATATGCTGGAAGCAGACCACATCCCTAAGGTAGCACTTGAGCTGCTCACAGTAGTTCCACCATGGAGTTGATTACTAGTCTCATCATGGGGAATAACTACATCCAGCTTCCCAGCCACTCAAAACCAGGCCCAGCCAAGGTGACAAATAACCTTAACTATCACAAGGACAAAATTAAGTCTCTGGCCAATTCAAACCAGTTGTCTAATTCTCCTTAATACCAAAATTGGTTAACAGAATAATTTTAGAGACTCTCCTAGTCCCAGGGAATAGAAAAATCATTCAATATACTACCTTCAATTGCTTAAATCAACATAATTCACCTATCAGTTCTAGAATCCATTCTTCTCAATATTTCCTCCTATAAAAGAACTCAATTTGATGGCAGTGGGTATAAAAAAACTCAAAGGATGAAACAATAGTTACTCTCCAGGAAAACAACCTCAAAAGTTTAAGTACCAGTTAAATTATTAGCTTCTCTTAAAACATCAAATCTGTAATGGTAATACACAATTCACAGATTTGACTCCTGAGAATGATTCTGTATTGTCTAAATTTAACCAAGATATTTTAAAAACATCAGTTGTCTCCAAGTTGATTCCAACTAATGGTGATCCTGAGTGTGTTAGAAGAGAACTGTGCTCCATAGGATTTTCAATGGCTGATCTTTTAGAAGTAAATGGCTGATCTTCTGATGGATTTGAACCTCCAACCTTTCAGTTAATAGCTAAGCTTGTTAACTGTTCGAATCACCCAGGTACAACAAGGATATTTAGGACAGGGCAATCAATCAATCAAAATCCAAAGACATCTTTCATCCAATAGCATATCTACCCATTTCTTTAAGGGTGCTGTAATTTTCCAAGCTTTTTAAATTCCAGCCCGTGCAATAAACTAACACCCACTCTCGTATGTTAAGTCAACTTAGGGTCTATCCTTCTTCTCCACAAAATCTGTAAGTCATTCCAAATGTAAATAATCCCTTCACAATGGACCATGTATAGAGAATGATATAACGCTGGACCAAGTTGGATGCTGGCCTTCCAATGGTGACCTCAGGAATCACAAAGCTTGTGCTCACTCCTTTACCAACTTACACCTATATATAGCTTTTCACATTTAACCGATTTCACTTTAGCCCAAGCCTTTTTTGCTAACAACCTCTTCCCCTACCAAGACTCATTCTTTCCTCCTATAATTGAGGGAATATAGGATACATGCCAGTCACCCCTTCTCTCCTCCCTGAAGCCCTAAGCCCTTTCAGTGGGTAATCTGTATTGTGGGCCTCTATGAAATGAAGAGGCAATAAGGAATGATGGGGAAAAAAAAAAAAAAGTGGACTCTGGGAGCAAACTACATGGGTCTGAATTCCAACCCTGTGATTTTTATCTATTTTATTGTGTGACTTTGCATAAATTATTTAATTTATTTGAGCCTTTATTTCAACTGTAACATGGTCGTAGTAATAGTACTGCATCCATGTTACAGTTATTAGATGAGTAAATGAGTTAATATATAGAAATCAAATAGAATATTATCTCACATAAGTAAATAACACACCTCTTTTCTATCAGTTCCATCAAGGGCAGAACATTGTTCACTAAGATCTAGAACTATACCAAGAATATAAATCTTGCTAAATGAAATCTCAATAAATCTTGCTAAATGAAAGAGTCAAAAATCAATTCAGGACCTTCTTACTCCAACTCCTCCACATCCCTCACTTGACCTACACCTTCTCTCATAGGTACTCACTAGGTTAAGTATTTCAGGCACTGTAGATACAACTCATACTTATGTCTCTACTAAAACTTTAGAAGTTATGGACCCTGAGGATCTCTGGAGAATACATAGCAGAAACTAAATTTTTTAAATCTTTTAAAGTCAAAGGTCTCCTATATTGCACAACTTGATTCCTCTTTCTAAATCACTATTGCAAATCCCTACCCAAATATGTTCAGTGGTTCCCCAAAGTGCATAGTTAAAAAAAAAATCCATTACTCTTAGCCTGGCTCAGAAAAGTCCTCCTCAATAGATTCTACTTTTCTTCTTCTCAAAATTTCTCTCCTTTGGCTTTGCTGACAAGAAATTTCTGTTCCAGCACAAACTCCTACCATTATGCCTCTATTCAAAATATTCCCTTATTTAGAATTTCCTTCTACCAAAAAACGAAACAAAAGAATTCTTACTATTCCTTCAAGGCAAAGCTCAAACTTCCATTCTATAGTCTTCTATCTTGGATGGCTCATCTTGCCCCCTGACCTTTGTGTGTGTGTGAGAGTGTACCTTATTTCCCCCAAACAACCAATAAGCTATCATAAAACAGGAACCATCTCTTATATATGATAGTATTCAATGGTAAGAGCAGAACATAAAATTCAGAATACATTTTTTTAAAAATGATTTACTTATCTATTTATCAAACCCATCCATGGTATTAATTTCTATTATGTTCAATAATAAAAAGTTCAATAAATTTACTACTCATTTTATAGCATAATTCTCTATTAACAATGTAGCTAACTGGCAACATCAGTTATGTATGGGGGGAAGCATTATAGTTTACTATATTTAAATGAATTATCAATATTCAAAGAAGGATAGCTTTGAAATCAACACACTTGAACACAATTAACTCAATGGTATAGTGTAGGGAGAGGTAGGGATGTGTGTGTTTAAGAGAGAGAGAAAAGTCAGTTGGTTGAATCAGAAAGAATTAGGATTTTTCCACTGTTTGAAGCCTACTGCTTAATAATCTTCACATTAAGTTACCTATATGAACACACAAAAAATCCCATTTTCACACAGTTGATTCTGACTCGTGGCAGCCCCATCTGTTACAGGGTAGAACTATTCCCTAGGGTCTTCTTGGCTGTAAATCTCTACTGAAGCAGCTTACTAGCCGTTTCCTCTGCAGAGCCACTGGTAGGTTCAAACTGCCAAACTTTAGCCAATCACAGGCCACATGTGCCACTGAGGCCCCTTTCCTTCAAATAAGGTACTAGTTAATAGAAAACATAAATTGGTAGACGATAGAAACAATATGAAAGACTGTCTGCTGCTTATGTGTATCATTTGGTAAAATTTTATTGATCATTTTATTTCTGCCAATAAAGTAGTTCTAGAGATTTATTTTTGCACTTTTAACCCACTACTAAAATTCCTGAACTTTCCCCTATGAATACAAATCTTTATTTATTAATAAAAAGAACTCTTTTTAGGAACATGACACACTGTGACTTCTCTGCCCTTGCAGCTGAGATCTTTAAGCTTCACAAAAAATGGCTCAAGAATTGATTTGGTAAGGTGTTCAATTAAGAACATTCAATATAAATACAAATCTTATTTCCTGTGCAATATGGAAACCTATAAATGGTCATTCTGTTCCCAAATTGTTCTTTTGAAGTTAAAAGGAATGCCCATTAAAGTTTTATTTGAATGAAGGGATTTTGTTTAAGATTCTAGAGATGAAATAGTATTGCCATGTCCTAAATAACCTTCAAAGATAAAGCTGTAATTTTAATTCACTATCTTACTTGAAAATTTGTTGACCTGAAATAATGCTGCAATTAACATTTAAGTCCCTTATTTTGAAGTCCTTCAATATCCTGATTGTTTTAGCTTCTACTCAAAGAGGCCTCTCTAGCTGTCAGACCTTTACTAAAAAAATATATGAAATATTTTATGTAGTAGTCTGGGTATATATTATTTGTATAATAATCAAAATATAGATGAAAAAGAGGTCCTTACCAAAACCAACCAAACAAAAAACCCCTATGACTAAATCAGAGTTTTGATTTGACTTCTATAAAATTGGTAAGCTTCCTTTTAAGAAGAAATACAGGGAAGATGACAACATTGTCCACCATATTATTATCTGATCCACTGAGAAATCATTTAAGAACATTTATGAAATGTCAAACAGAAAAAAGAATACTTTTGCCACATTAAGTCAAAATACAATGAAGATAAATTTTCAAATGAAAGGGTTTATATTTAACAAACATGAAAAAATGCTAATAGGCAAGGTAGCATTACTAAGTTTCAAGATAAAACAACATCCATTATAAGCATGCTACATTATGTAAAGGAGAAATCTGAATTCAAATGATCTAATTTGGCAATCTTGAAGCCAAAAGCTCAATAAAATTAATAAAAGAATAGCACTTTCTGCTTTTCTCAAATTTTCAGTAGTATTAATATGAATAAAAAGAGAATAAGACAACTTGCTTACCCGTTTTATTGTCAAAAAATTTGATATGTCTATCTTCATGAGCTGTTATTGTAACAGGAAGTGTGGGATGACTTACTACTCTGTTAATGTGATTACTGGATTGCAAACCTAAATAAAAAGACAGTACATTAAAATTCACAACTTTCAATTGTCTTTTCAATTCAATTTTCAATTAGTCTTACCAAAAAATAACAATCATTAAACACTATAGCCTTTGCCTTAAAAAAAAAAAAAATGTGAGAAACTGAACTATGGTTTTAGAGACTTAATTTTTTGAAAAGTAAAGTTATTATGTCCTATAATATGGATGTTACTAGGCTCAAGTTTAGAAAAAAAAATTTAAGTGCTTTAATGCAGAATTTCAAAATAGGTGGTTTGGAATTTTAAAAAGGTCTATTATAATTATTATAAAATAATTATAAGCATTTGATATAGAAAAAAATACGTAAGTGATAATTAGATGTATGCAAGAAACGACTCTCATCCTACCCATAGTGACAAAAGAACCAAAGAACCACTATTAATGTTCTTTAAGAATGAGAATTTTTCTTTACTAGCACATTCTTAACTTCTGATTACAGATGAAAGAGAATAGAGAGGAACCAAAACAAATGGGAAAAAAACATTATTAAACTAAATCAATCATTCTACATGTATACAGAACTCTTATATACGAAATTTAAATACACAAAATTAAATACACACACACATACCCACATATGGCTACCTGTATTGGGTGAAAGAGGAAATAGGCTGAGGAAACACTGGGAAAGATTTTTCTTTTGAGTATAGTTTGGTTTGAGATTTAACCATAGAACTATTAAAAATTTTATAGAATCACAAAACATTGAATTTTTTTAATGGACTCCCTAAAAATCAAAAATAAAATTAAACAAGTGAACACAAATGCATATCCAGTTGGAGGTCTCTACAAAGAAATAAACTACTCCAAGTGACCTGAAAGCACAGTAATTTGATTATACATTCCTAGTGAAATATACCTTAAGAACAAACTGATATTAGTAATCAAACTATTGATGGTGAGGTTGGTATTATTATCCTGAGAAGGTTGTATAAATCAAATGAGAAACCGTGATAAGTCCATTGAGAACCTAGAGTTCCAGCAGTTAAAAATGAAGAAAGGATGTAAAATCAGTGAGATAAATCTGAATTGGAATTAGAAGTTTCAGTGTGAATTTATCAAGTGTCTTCTTTTAAAAAATATTACATTTCCTAGCTCTACTGAAAAAGCATAAAATAATGACTGACACAGGAGTCATAAAGACATAGCACCCAAATTACAGTCTCTAAATGCCATTACCCACTAAAAGAAACCACAGCTCCTTAAAGAAATGGCTGGTTTGGGGTCTGGGGCATACAATGAGAAAGATGAGGCTAGAATACCTTGATGTATCAGAAAGCAAGGAAGCTATCAATGACTACCAGGGTCATGTATGTCAAAAGGACTCAGGAGCCAACTTACAAAGCCTCCCACTGGCCAAAGATGAGATAATCTGAGTAGCAATAAAGATAGTATCTGCAATGGACTGGAACACATCAAACACATTTATACCTTTAAGATTATAGTAATATTAAACAACAGCCAAAATACTCAATGGCCACCCTTGGAGGATGCCAGGGAACCACCTCATTGTATGAAAACTGATAAATAAAGGGAAACAATGGATTATTTACATTGTGTTTCATACATAATTATTAACTCCAAGGTAACTAAATTATTGATGAGAGGATATTCCTTTTTACAGAAATAGTCCAGCCAATAAATGAAGAAAGAATGACAGACCCAGGTTATCCTTCGGGCCTGGGAATGGACTCACCTCCATGGACTGCTCTCAGCCCAACAGTAGAAAGACCTAAAAGCAGAACACCTCCAGGGAGATGTACCCACTTACCCTACGGATATGCACCCCTTAGATCAATCAGTCATGAGACATCAGAAGGGCAGCATTCACATAGAGGGAAAGCTGGACAGATAGGAACACACAGGGAAGGGGTAGTCACAGGGAGACTTTTTATGGTTGGGGATTTTAATTGGGGCCATGAAATCAAATGTGCACAAACTGGTGAGAATAAAACACACCTGCTTTGTAAATCTGCAGCCAAATCACAATAAAAAAAAAAGTGACAAAATAAGAAAATCATCATTTTCTAACAGATAGTGGACCCAGGCAACAATCATTAAGGCTGATAATACCACAAAAAGATAAACAGCAGACATTATTTACCTTCCAATAAAAGTTCACAAATCACCTATGAAGTACTCTTGCCAAAATACTTTGAAAATTAAAAAAGAAGAAAAAAATTTAACCGGAATCTGAATAAGCCTCTAGACATATTAACAATTTAGAGGAAATAAAAAGGACAGAGAAGCACATGAAACATTAACCAGCAAAATCCAGGCTGTGGGAAATCCTATAGGACAAACAACCCAATTTCTTTAATAATATTAAAAAATTACAAGGAAAGTAAGAGATGGAGAGGGTACCTAGAGATGAACAGAGATCTGAGAGATCAACCAATTTGCAATGCACATACCCTATTTAGATTCTTATTTAAATCACCTACAAAATAGAGACCACACATCCCACCCTACAACAATGGGCATTTCTAGAGAATTAGTGAAAGTAAATGATGAGAGAGCATCAGGGTCATTATACATTATACATTCTCTCTACTTTCATTACATATTTCCACAAGTTTAAAATTACTCCCTTACATTTACGTTCACATTGCTCCACTCATACTTCTGTTCCATATACACACCCAAGCTTTTAAGATGAATGGAGGAAACAGCATGAATAAGGTGAACAGATACAACTATAACATATTGAAACTAATTATTCTGCCATACTAAATTCAAATAGTAAAAACACAAAAATTTGATGAAAGGATAATCATCGTCTTTTGTATAATAATCAAAGAAACCAATGAAAACTTACCAGAATCTACCTGTGATGAAAGCACCACCAATGACTGCGATGTTTCTAAATCATAAATTAATGTATTGCCAGTGTTGAAAGAGGTCACCATATGAGCTGGATCACAGCCTATAAAGTCAACTGATGTAGGTATTCCATACTCTGAAAGGAGCCCAAGAGACAGAGAGTAAACACAGTAATTCAGAAATCTCCACTTTTCTAAGGAGAAATAGGAATTCAATTATTTTCGAGATGCTGTTAATAATGAAAAAGAAAGTAATTGTGTTTGGATGGTGATATAATAGGTAACATTTCCTCAATAACGCAGTATGTTTCTATAACATTCAATTTAACATTATAAAAAAAATATAACTAGAGGCTCTTAAAGTAAGAGCAGACATATTCAAAAGGTACTTGTTCTGTGCATTTTCTTCAAAGGGAGAAAACAACTCCTGAGAAAGTAATTTTGTCAGCTTGTCAATTATAGAGACCCAACAAAATTAAGTATATACAACTCACTTAAAATGTTTAATCACTATTAGCCAAATAATAGACAGGCCTATAAGCTAAACAGTCATGTCAGGAGGGTATTCACTCATTAGAACAATCAAACATATGAGATCAAGAGGACAGCATTTGCCCAGGGATAGAGCTAGGAAGGCTAGAAGGGATGGGAAGGATGGGTTAAGGGAAGGGGTAGCCATAGGGAGGAAGTGGGAAGAACGCTGTTATAGTGTGGAGATTGCAGTAAATGTCACAAAACAGAATTTATATGGATTGTTGGAAAACCAATCTGCTCTGTAAATTTTCACCCAGATCAAATTTTTTTTTTAAAAGGGAAAACTTGCAAATATTTGCCCTTAAAAAAATAAATTACTATTGACAAGGGGAAAGGTTATGGTGGCTTCTTGGCCATAGCCAGCTACCCAGAAGGAGTGAATAGCTGGACTTGTGGGCTTGGGACCAAGGTTCGCAGGGGACATCAAGCTCATCTGGCAAAATATAATATACAAAAACACTGTTCTACATCCCACTTTGGTGAGTAGCAACTGCAATCTTAAAAGCTCACAAGTGGCCATCCAGATGCCATTATGGGTCTCTCCTCATCCAGAGCAAAGAAGAATGAAGAAAAACCAAAACACACGGAAACAATTAATCCAAGGGACTGGTACACGATGCGATCCTCAGCCTATATGACTGTAAGACCAGGAGAACTAGATGCCTGGCTACCTGTCAACCACGTGGAAGGGGATCTATATAGGAGATCCTAGACAGAGTGGGAGAACAATGTGGAACACAACGCAAAATCATTAAAAAAAAAAAAAAAGGGTGGGACCAGTTTTGCTGGTCTGAAAGAGTCTTGTGGAACCCTTAAGACTATGGCCCCTAGATGCCCTTCAGGTCTGGAGATGAACCAATTGCTGTGGCTTTCAGCCAAACAAAAGACAGGCATACGAGCTGAACATATATGTTAGGTAGATACACTCCTTTGAGAGATCAATCATGGGAGAAGAGAAGGGCTGTATATGTACAGGGAGACAGTTTGGGGGGCAGGAGTGCATGGGAGGGAAGGACACAGGGAAGAAGTAACTAACTGGGAGGAAGTGAGAGGAGAGCTGTTACACTGTAGGGAATTGCAATCCCTGTCAATGTTCTGAGACAAAGGCGTTCTGGTGATGTAGTGCCTAAGGCATTTGACTGCTAACCAGAAGACTGGCAGTACAAATCCACCAGCCACTCCTGGGAAGGAAGACTGGGCAATCTACTTGCATAGAGATACTGCCTCAGAAACCCAAGGAGGGGTCACCGTGAGTTGGAACTAACTTGATGGGAGTGTTTTTTTTTTTGGTCCTGAGACAAAATATGTATGCACTGCTATACGGAAAATGAATTTGCTCTGTAAACTTTCACCCAAATCATAATAACAATTAAGGATAAATAAATAATTCACTTAAAAAAAAGTTTCAATATTTTACTATTAAACAATGTATTTTTTCCTTAATAAAAATAAAAGGTCTGATTAAAAAATAATTTAAAAAATTACAAGACAAAAAATGTGTGTGTGAATATATACACACACACATACACATACACACATATATATATACACATACGAACGTCTCACAATTTAGACAGGTAAAACCTTTTTGGACAGGAAAAGATTTGGAATCATCCATGTAAATACAATTAATTCCAGTTAAGGGTGTTACTTCAATGATTATGGATGGATTTCCCAGTGTGCTTAGGGCCATGGTGCGAAAAAGGTTTACAAGTATGCTTGAAACTTTGAAGTTGGAATCAGAAATACCATTTGACCCAGCCATCCCATTACTAGGTATATACCCTAAAGAAGTGAGAGCCATGACAAGAACAGATACATGCACACCCATGTTCATCGCAGCACTATTTACAATAGCCAAAAGAT